AAACCTAAAAATAATAACTATTAAAAAACGAAACATATCTATAAATATCTATTATTTCGATACTATAAAAAGAAAACAATTATTCAATATATTCAAAGTATGCACGTCTTTTTAGTATCAATTTTTATAGTTATTCGACTAGTTATTTAATTAATTATTTATCTAAATATCTAATTGCTGCTTGTGCGCACTGTGAGTAATTTATAATGTAGGAACCGTTCGAAAGCAGTAGTTAAATCTACTTCGAGGTGATTCAGTTGTGATTTTACGTGTACATTTCGTGCGTTTTATATATATTTTGCGCTCCGCTTGTGTTTCTCTGGTGCTTTTGTCTTTCCTTTGGACCAACTTCGTCCAAATTTGAGCTACATTTGAGCTAGACTAGTGTTCAAAGCGGAAGTCGTTGTTTTCGAATTGACACTAGCCACGGAGTGAATACGATTACATCATGTGACAACGTCTCGCAGACAACTTATTTAATTGAAGATTAATTGAATCCAAAAAAAATATATAGCAGTAATTATTCGAACAGGTACTCGCTGCGTACAATACTATTATCATAAATTATTCAAAAATACTTTAATGAGCTTATTCCTTTGACTAGATCCTGCGAACCTCGAAAAACTTCGATAAAATGACTTATTAAAGATCAAAATTCATGTGCACTCAAGTTTAAAAGAGAAACTTAAATATTTCATAAATTCAGTTAAACTTTTCACGAATAACATTATTTGTATTGATAAATGCTACATAACAATGCAAATAAATGCATTTTATTTCGTAAAATAAATAACGTACATTTTTTAATAAAAATATTAATCTTATGAAAATTATTAAATGTCATTCATATCCTAATTAATTCGTTTAAAAATCCTGCATTTCCCGATAATTTCACAAAAATGTGTATACGTGAGTAGAAAATATATAATTAGAAAAATAAACTTTAGTGGATCTTTTACGCATAACGTAATTTGAATACACATGAATTTGTTCCACCTACAATGTACAACAATAAAGTCCTGTCGCAGAACTTACAAGAAGGAACAATAATATTACAAATACTGAATAGTAATTCTCATTCTCTACAAAAAGCAGTGACTATTCTCTTTCTTTTCTCAATTCATAAATTTGGAGACTTTACAAAACCACTGACATATGATTTGCATTTGAATGTAGTCGCCACTGTTTAAGTCACACGCGAATATTGAACTGCTTACTTTCTTTTTTACTTATCAAATTACAATACTTTTATACAATATGTCTTAGATCCATCGATAGTTCTTCCAATTTATAAACTTTTATGATGAAATTTACTTATGCCGCAAAAATTTTATAGAAAATCTGCATTTCTTTGCAAATTTTTTTTTAACATTAAACACGTTGGTGTAAACTTGGTGTAACTTATACAATTAAGTCGTAACTTTTGATTTGGTCAGAATAAAATCTAGTAAGAAAAATAAATTTAAAAAATACGATTTTGTCAAGTTATAAATACGATTTTATTATCTATCTACGTCAAGACTTATTTCATTAGACTTCTTCCATTTTCATTGCAGATTAACATTTTCATAATGCCTTGTAATTTAAACAAATTATCTTTCTTGATTTTGGTCCTTTGTGTATATATGTACAATTGGAAGATCCTCTCGATGGTTCCCAGTCATTCCGTATGCATTCTAATTCATTTCCGCATTGCACATTTAACAATAAATGTCTATCATCTCAAGTGCATGTTACATGCATGAATACATTCTTTACATTATTCCTTATAGAATAAACGAAACTTGGACAATTCAATACTAAATGCATGGCAAGAATTGAGTATCCTAAACAAATGCATGTTACACACCATTTTCACGATACATTACTTTACTTCACGACGTCCTACAGGCGTCTACAGTTTTCCCAAATTTTTATCAAGATTACAATTTTTTTGTCCTCAAATAAATTTCGTCATGATATAAAGTGTGATTTCAGAAGCCTGCCACGGCTATCTTCACTTCTCGTCTTACGTTACTCGTTCGAAAAAGTAAAATATAGAAACATTGTTTTGGAAGATTTGACAATTAGGCACACAAATTGCCCTCTTTTAAAAAATATACACGTAACCCTTTTCGCATGCGATCCAACATTCATTTGTGTCTTGAAGAATTTCTGTCTCTCCATCTATCCGCTTCTGCGTCTCGATTAGACCAAAACCTACTTTATTCCGCTTGTCATGCATTTACGCAAGAGCGCAGAGTTTCGCATCACCGAGCCGTACTTTCAATTGCCTCTGAAAGCAACGAATAAAATTTCACGAAAGTCTGAACCTTCTTCAAGGTGGCTCGAGTGCGCGAGATCGCGTACTTTTTTTGCGCTTTGTCGGGCGTCATCTCGTCTTAGGACTTCGTAATCTGTCCAACCACTGTCTTCGAGCCAAGTCGGTAGACACGAACGCTACATGTGCTCTTCGAAATCGTAGCCATTTCTCGATCCAGGCAATGTTTTTTTTTCTATTTTGGAAGAATCGGAATCTTTTGTAGAAATTGAGCAACGTGTCGGGCGGACACACGCGTGCACGGAACTTCCTGTAGCCGCCGGAAGAGCCTTTTAAACATATCCTCGGGCGATTCCTCCTCAGGTGTTCAGCAGATTCTGCGAGAAGTCGTGCTCGCGCCACGAGTTGGTCGTGCACACGCCCTCCCCTCGCCACCATTCGTTCACATCTTTGTAGTATTTCGGCGGGCGGTTGTCGTGCAGCATGGCGCACACCCGGCACCAGAAGTATGTATTGATAAACTCGCCGGTGCCCTTCCAGCGAAAGTACGAGTTGTACAGTGCGTCGTCCTGATCCAGTCGATGCAGGTACTCGGCAAGCTCCTTCGGCGATTCGAATTCGTCAACGTGGATGTAGGAACGGTACGGCGCGCTACGCGCGTAGTCCGTTGGATGGGCGCCCATCACGATGGGCAGAACGTTGTGTCTGTATTCGGAAATGAATAGACTTATTATAAAGATGATAATTTCAGCCGCGAGAGGAACCGAGGGGTGACTGTGTGCCACGATAGGTGCCGTTACGTTACGCGTCGCATTATACGTCACACACATTTCACGGATCAACGAATGTCCAGTTTAGCCCGCTCGGACTTTAATTAAAACCGCGCAAACCGCGCGCATTTCCACCTATTTGACAAGAGGAGGATATTAGGTAACGCGAGTTGGCACGCAACCGCCTTATTTGAGATGCGCGTACGACATGCCACAAAAGTTGGCAAAGGTTGCCGACCTCTGGGTGAAATGATCGAGCATTCCGGTCGGCCGACTTACATTCACGTCGCACAAAATACCCGCGCGTCAAAATACCCGCGCGGTCGTCCGCATAAATTGTGCGCGCGAAAGAGTAGCGAATATCGACCTGCACATACCCGAGTCCGTTGACGAAGAACTTTTCCGTGATGTAATCCTTGCAGTTGGAGTTCTCGAACGCAAGGTAGAATTTGTAGTCCTCGTCGAGCATGTCAAAGCACGTTTGCGACTGCGACCGCGGACAGCGTAGACTGCCGCACGCTCCGTAAATGTCCACCTGAATATATTTCGAGAGTTCCCTGGCATAATGCATGCGCTGATTTCGGGGATGGCAGTTGGAAACGAACCAAGCGACCTGATTAAAGAGCAAAGTAGAAGAGGAACGTGTCATGTGTAATAGTGCCTATTTACCTTACATTTGGTAAAAGTGAGAGTAGCGCGCCCGAATAGCGACGCGAAAGAAATATTCGCAGAGAAATCGTGTATCACGCGACGCGATGAAGGAAACTGTTCATCAAACGTTCAAGCATACGTCACTTAGAGATCTTTATGGTTCGCATAAATGGAATGAGATCTTCGACGAATCTGATTGCCTTACCTTCTTCGTTTTGTTCACCGCGTAATTAATCGTTTGTGAAATTTGTGTGACACTGGAATCGTAATATTGCCACCTTTCGTAGGGCGCCACTATGTCGCTGTCACGTCGATATGTGGCCGTCCAATTGATAAGGGCATTCTTCACACTCTGCGTGTGATAAGGACATTCTAAAAAATACAGCATCCACGCCTGCCAAAAATCGCATAATTCTTATTACGCGAAGACAATGGATCCTTTCTTGCAGTATATCTTTACAGTATAAACGAAGCTTTACAATAAATCGGTCATGAAGAAAAAAGGTCGGATATCTTATCGTTAAAATCCACAGAATTGATATTATCATCGTTACACAAGATACCTGATTGTAAGGTCTTCGCCCCACGTGTGTGACGTAATCCTTAAATAGAATGAGATCAGCATCGTCCGGATTATCGCGAACGATCGTGCAGGTATTCACCGGACAGCGTTGCTGCGTGAAAATGTCAGGGCCGATTTTGGCTTCGGCCATTCCGTGAGGAATCATTATCTTTTTCAATGGATGCTCGCCGCCCGTTTTGTTGTAATCAGGTGGCATGAACATTAACTGTGAAAAAGAATGCGACATTAGTATATCATACAGAATCGAGTGATTTGTTGATATTACTATTACTATTACATTGAATCTTTTCAAACGCGGATGCAATTTCGTAAGTTCTTGTGCAATAATCACCTGATTGGTCACACGATCATCGTAAGCATTTTCCTCCGGCCACAATTGAGCCAACCTCCGGCCAGTACTGCGGACTTTCATAGCCGGATAGGGTCTTCTGGTTCCTCCTTTCATGTACCAAGGTCTGCGCGATGGATCCAAGTCTATTGAATTTTCGCTCATACTGGTGGTTCCATTTATATTCGAAGTCTTGGAATGAAAAAACAAATATATAAATAATGGTCAAGAAATCATATTTACACTATATTATCACTCTCTGCTACAATTTAGAAAATTAAAGCGTAACATTATTATTTTTAAGCGTGGCACTGTACATGCGTGCATAAACACAAAAGCATATTTTATTCTAACATACATAGACCAGAAAGTGGCAAAAATATGTTATTAAAGCGAAACTCTTTTTCTATCTCACGAACAATTTAAAAAATGTGTTAATATACTGCTACGCAAACGGCTAAATTGCTAAACTCTCGTTAACTAGTATACTTCAGTACTCGTATAATTTTTCTCTATCATCTAAGCGCTGAATATTTAGCGGAATAAAAAACCTATTATAATGTTCCAAATAATCATTGTCGAATCCTACAACATATTTAATAATTGCGCATTTTTAAACGAGTAATACTTATTCGAATTTATTAATGCTGAAATAACGTTTCGTAATTTATTCCCAATCACTGAACCTCATGAAGATTATTGTTTATATTTTATTCGGAACATTATAGCTTTCTCTACTCTATATGTGGCATTAACTACGTAATATTAGCACTATGAAAGGCCAGCCGAAAAAGAGGAAGCCACTAAGTTTATAAGAAAAACGTCCGCATCATATTATTTAAGCTATAACAAGAATAAGTGAGACGACGTACGAAAGGATGATAATATTAAATAAAATTTTGAAAATTTGTAATAGCGTATTTATGCAAATTTAAGTATAATATTATATGGTTATTTTTTATTCTGTAAACATTTTTTTAATTGATGTGTATGAAAATGCCATGGCTTTGTTCGTAATGCTCCGTTTTTTTTTTTAAATTTTTTAATGTCTTTGTGATTAATCGACACTGCAACTTAATGACTGTACCTCGGACGGAAATCTTTTCTTCATTTGCTCCCGAGTGCGTAATACTCGCATCGTCGGCTTCTTCGATTTCAAAGGCCAATCGGGTTTCATCTGCGAGCGAAATTTATTTTTATTCTTTCAACTGTAATTTATTTTATATATGCCACTTATATGATTTATTTCATAGCCACATAGGTACACCGCTTATCTACACTTCCTTCCCTCTTTTCTTCTTATCAAAAGTCACGATAACAACACATCTATAATAGCATAGCGATAATTTCGTAAGATTAACCTTAAAAAAATTTATATATCGTTCTGTCTATTTTTCTGGTCAAACAATTAAATATCTCAATAAAAATTATATTTATACGTGGGGATAATATTGTTGAGATGAAATATTTAATAACATTCATCACTTCTCGAAGCAATACTGGTTCTGCAGAGATAATTGCGAGTATTAGCGAAAAGCTAAGAACATAGTGCAGAAAATGTTTTGTATCACGTAAATATATAATATGATAATAATACGTGAATTTGTATCAGTCACGCTAGTTAATAATTTAAAACGTACCTTCGGCCCGTCGCCAGCAGTTCGAGCGGACTGCGGCTGGCCAGGATGTGGTCGCATGCTGTGCCATATCTCGTCCTGTAGTAGATTCAATAGGACAACCAACGTACCCGTTAGACATAACACGTATACAAAGTATCTCTTCAGAGAGAAACGCGGCAGACCCATGCCGCCCGGTTCCTAACTGGGCGACACTTTTATCTAGCCATGCGTCACTTCGCTCCACGACATTCGGCTATCCTATAATCAAAATTGATGATGGACGAATAAGAAATCGATTGATATCTACAAGCATAATAAATGTGAAAAACAGACAAAGCGCAATAATTAGAAAAACATATATGCAAACATAAAATTAAGAAGTCGAATTTATAATCTCTTTTCTCTAACTTTGAAAAAAGAATTTCCTTGTGCGAAATAAAAATCAGTAGCATAATTTATTGTAATAGAAAATTAGTAATTACTTAGGAATCAATTTGTTAGATTCAGAAAATCGTGTTTCGTATTTTATCAAAAACTATTAATGAAAATAATATATTAATTATTGAAGCATAGTTTTTATACAAGTACGCTCGCATGTACATTATGTAATTTAAAATTAGTGGTGGAATTTGATAAGATTAATTAACCTTGTTAATTTCCGGACTGCTGGCTCTTTCAACATTTATGATTATGCAATATAACGACATTCACACGAAAATCTCTTTATTATTGCGATGATTCATTATTGATTCATACGCAAACTTTCCAAGCCTTTGTCCCATTAAATGTGGCAAAGAGAAATTTTATTAAATGAGAACATTATAACCTTTTAAATTTTGTAATTTTAAATACAAACTTTCTTTATTTATTTAAATTGCTATAAAAAGAAAGCCTTATTTTAAATATTTATTAATATTTCAATGTTCAAATATTTATTTTAAATATTTATTATAGCTTCAAAAGATAGCAAAAAAAGATTTTAATGAATTTAATTATATAGCTAATTATATAGTTTAAAAATATTAGACAGTCATAAATTTTATGTAAAATGGAATATCCTTGCAATTTACGGATAGCCAACACAACATTTTTCATTTATTATATTAAATAATTTTATTTGAAACGTAATGTGATTTAATTAATTACAATTGCAAGATATTATTTGTCATCCAATTGCATTGTTGCACGTCCTCATATAATTATTATTTTGCGACATCCAATTATTGAATTGCATCTAAATTGAAAATGTGCACGACACCTGCATACGTTTGTTAATATTTGTACGCAAATAATCCATTTATATTATATTCTTTTGTGCCGTCCAATAATAAATCTTTTGTGTCCTGACCTGCATTTACACTTGGTTTTCGTAGCTTTTTATTATTGTTTTTATTTGTTTATTCAAAATTTTATAATATTAAAAATTACAACAATTATTGTACTTGTGGATTTACAGTAATCACAAACGCACGATATGTATTTAAAAAAATGGTGTATTTACACACATATGCATGCACATTCGTGTACATTATCACACGACAATCGCGAGATGCGAAATATTTTTGAAAAGATCTTAAAGATCTTAAGAGATTTTGAAAGTATCTTAGTGTCCAGAATAATGTTCCTTCGAATTCTCGCCCGAGAAACGCATTTCTAATCGCTTGATGCTAAACGAATGATTCTGCTACTTTATGAAAAGGTGAACGATAAATTTGCCGCGTTGCAATACGCTTTCATGCCTCTATCTTCGATCTGCTATAAAGTTTACATTCACTAGATAGTCAATATGCGCTATATATACTCCGTGTGAGCGAGAAGTTTTAATTTATATTAAATAACACGATATATGTTATTGTTTAAAATAGTACACTGATACATTATATATAATGCAGCATTATGTACATCAATTTTATCTACAATTTTATCGACATTTTTTGTGGCAGTTTACCTTTCTATATTCAAAGCGTTTTCTCTCGTAAAGTTCGCACGATAAAAATTTTATTTTAGCCTAGATTTCGCAAAAAAGCGACCTTTGTGTCTATAAAAGATTAAAAAATAAAACAAAGTTTGATAACATTATTTTCTCATAATAAATCTACTGTGAACGTTGTCACACTAGTATTTTATCCATAAAAGAGCGCGCATATTTTTGATAAGATGACACGATATTTCTCATTCTCAAGAGGATAGCTTGAAGCTACAGCGGCAAATTGAAAACATAAATAATGCGGACTTTTACGCTCTTCTCTCTGTTGGAAACTATATTTTATTTTTTTATTAAAGTCGTTTCTCCATCGACTAAATTGCATTCACGTAGTGTTCAAATATTAACATCCCACTTTAGTCCACGAAGGTTGGTTCATGTACAATCAACGTGGCACTACGCATTCTCTCACAATTTTCAAAAAAGTTACTTACACGCAGAAGCGACCGTGTGTTTGGTAAATAACAATTTTATCTATATCACAAAATTCGTCAACAAATAACTTATTCGTTAAACGATTGAACGGCAAGTTTTTTTCCAATAAAATTTTCTTCTAAGTAATCCGTTAACCTTCGATGTCAAACTTTAAGCTAGCAACAAACAAAATCACTTGGTAAAATGCTGTCTTTTCGCGTATGAATATACGCAGAGATCTGAATTCTTCTAACCTCGGTCACAGTCTTTTCACACAGTGGTGTTAAACGTGCATTCGCGCTAACGTTACCGTAAACTTATGCACAGACGAACAGTTTAAATATCACTGTTGATCGGTGAGGCGCCGAGCTCGTTACATTACTATCTTATCACTCGCCTCTGTAGGTAATGGGGAGGTAGGTGGATACACTAATGTTTGGAAATTTCACACGATCGAGCAGTTTAGATAAGTAGGATCGCAAGATAGAACGTCTAATACTCTTTCAAGCTAAAAATATGTTTGAGCAATATGTGTTTAAGCTGTTCGAATTAATTTCTAAAAATTCGGAAATTGACATTTGCGTAGAGTTAGACAAAAATAAAAAGTTGGTTACTTTTTATTTGCAATGTACGCTATTTTATTTCAATTTTCTTTATATTTCGATTATTTGAATAATCAGACACTACAAATTTTTGACTTAATTTTTTTGCTTCGAATTTTTTAAGTATAATTTTAATATATAATATTTGTACCTTTTTCTGAATCGCATAATATACAAAGTAATATTTATATTAAATTAAAATAATATTGATTATTTTTGAAACTCTACTGTACGTTTATTTCTTTATGTCATTAAAACTCACTGAGAACCGCGCACGTCTAAAAACGAACAAACATTTAAATATCGACTTTATTTTAACTATCTTATCATGCTTACATGTTAATATTTTACATGTCCTTATTCCCGTTCTATGACTTGAAAATGAAACGGTCAATATTGTAAACGGTCAATTTTGCACGACACAGATAAGCCGTGTAACGAATGTTACGTATTTTCAATACAATTCCGAATATTTTACTGATTTTTATATTCGGTAGGTGTTTTTTTATGATCGCGATATTTCTATCTTGGAAATTGTAATATCATTTTAAAAGATAAGATATAATTCATACATGTGTCAGATAGATAAATTAAACATCACACTATGCACGCTAAGCATGTACGATATCATATATTATACATTTAGTAGATTAGAAAAATGATTGTGCGTTTTTTATGAACTTAATCTCGGCAATTGCGACAAAATCAAAACCTTGCGTGTCGAAGAGTTTAATAATAATCTACTAATGAAATCACGTAATTATTTGTGCATTCCCTCTTTTTATAGTATAATAATCGCGATAAATTTATAACTACAAAGCGCAGACAATTTTTCCTCGGCAATTGAAAATTTTACTTTATAATTTCCTCACATCTGGGATTTCGCTTTTAGGCTATTAAGTATTCATGCAATTCCGAAATTTTGATTCATATCCGATTCATATAATCAGAATTGGACGCAATTTTATTTTTATCTTTTTTCTACTTACTATATTTGGCATTGCCTGAGATAATTTTGTGCGGAAAACTCAGCGAAAGAATTTAATCGACACACGTGATATAAATTGCAATCAATCGGTTTATATAACCAATGTTATTTCGTTTTATCGGATAACTGACTTTCTATTTAAACGGTTCGGTTGATTGATATAATATTGATAGAATGATGATGTTAATAATAATAATATTAACTATACTAACATTGAGAAATAACGATTATAGAATCTTCTGTATCGTCCATTAATCTAATGCAGCCATTATTTGATCAAATTTTTTTATTATAGCAGCATAATAAATTTCATTAAAAAAACTTCGTAAACTGAAACTCTTTACATCATCCCTGTGTAACTCGATATTAAATTTAGCATGTTTTTAAACTAATGCGATGAGAGACTTTAAAATCTAATGAAACATGTATGCTGCTCATTAATTCAGCTTGAATTAACATAAGTCTGATAATAAAAACTGGATCAACTATAAATATTATTTCATAAATCTTCTGTAGACTTACTGTTTCCTCTGACTATTTCTGTAAGGAAAACTGCGAGAAAATTTATAATCGATACAATCAATTGATATTTTACACTTTGAAATTTGATTTTTTCGGATAAATGATGGATTAATTTCAACATCTAATTGGTTAAAATATATTGAAAAACACTTTTTATTATACTAATCAAACGAGATTTTTATATTATTACCGCTTATGTAATTCTCTTATTTAAAACAAGCATTGCAAAACTTGTATTCTTATTAAACAATGCATTTAACGGAAACATCATATAACACGATAAGATAATATTTGGAGATATTGCTTATTTGCTTAATTAATGTGCCATTTATTTATATTGATTATTCGTATTATTATCTCTTCCTGTTTTAATATGTACAATTTTTTAATAACCTGCGTGAAAGATAGCTGTTATGTTTCCTGTCACAGTACACTGATGAATAAAAGGTAGTAGTTTTCTTGTGCTATTAAATATATTAAGTATAACATCTCGCTTTCGATCTTTGATCGAACTTGAATTTCTCTTTCGTAAATTTGTCCACTATTTTTCATCGAACATTCTCACACACGAACGTATCTATCAATATCGAATTCGAACAATGATTTCAATATACATGTGTAATATCACTGTTTCTTTTATCTCATTATGCTTTTCATGATTTTGTGACAACACCGAGCTACATCACGCACAGGCTTCAATTATATTTATACACGCACACACATATGATCGAAGAACTATTAATGATTGACCGTAAGCAAATGACACTCTAAACATCGTCGAAAGTGCTTTAAATTGCGACTCTCGCGTCGTGACGACTGTGCCGATGCGGGCCGATAACGCAAATGGTCTCGAAATTGTTATTCGATTTGTGCACTGGTGCGAAATTTTACTATTTCTATTTCTATTTCACACTTTAGAAAACAGTGAGAAATTTTGTTTCTAACGAAATTAGAACAGTAAAATTTAATTGCTCGATACTTGATTTATCGAAATTAATAAGAAATTAAAAATAAATTTTTTTGCAGGATAAGATAACTTAACAATAAGATATATAACAATGAATGATAAAAGATTTAGCACAAGGTAAATGTTTTCTGTGTAAAAAAGACATGAAAGAAATAATTTAAAGTAATATAAAGAAATGACATACAGATAAAAACTGCCATTGTCAAATGCGTTAAAATTTGACATCAAGCTGCATAGACGATATAAAATTATACTCTATGCAACTTTTTTTTATCAAAATTAATGTTATTATCATATGAAAAAAAATTTGTTTACATTATCTGACGAGTAACTGTTAATCGATAGATAAAAGCCTTTCAGAAAGTCTCACCGTCGTAGATAGTGGCTGGCGTATTGGGTAGAGAAATATCTTTTACACTTGTAATGTGTCTACAAAGAAAAAAAAATATGGGCGGAACTGATAGACGTAACATCGTGCGCAGCTATGGATAAATATTGTTTATGCTGTTCCAATCCGTAGTTTCACGACACGCTAAATTGCTATCTCGTCGTCATGGCGCGCGCGTACATTGTCATTCGTATCCGACAAAATTCACGCATAATAAATGTGTCAGTCCGGCATTTCACGTAATCATTGACACGTTTCTATGCTGCGTCGCGAACGCGGAACAGTTTTCGAATCGTCCGTACGGTAAATGGGGAAGAATTTACGATTTATTTCATTCATTAATCTAGTTCTTTTTCTATCTCCGCTAAGAATCGCCGCTTGCAACGATAACGATAAAATTAATTGACACTAATAAATCGGAAACAATAACTTCTGTTGGCTACGAATTATCGTCATCCCGTATGTAATGCATGCGGGTAATAAATCTACAGCAGGCAACACACGACGGCTGTCAGTGGATGCTGATATATTGTTATTTAAATCACTTCGTAACCACCTTATTACGTTCATTAATGACACATAAAAGTTTACAGTGGATTGTAATATCATAAATTTTGCGATTCGAATTTCGGCAATTGCGCTATTTTTTGTATTTTTGTACATTATAGAAATTTGTTTTTTTTTTTTTTTTTTTTTTTACTATTTGGATTATATTCCTGTTTTTTTAAAAATAATATTTTTGTATTATTATATCATATGTTATTTTAAATAACGCAGTTTTCATTCTTTGAAACAATTTTGGTTGACTGTGATTCGGATGCGAACGTCTGCGCACCATATATATAATTGTCGCGATCGCAAGATAACCCAGATTAACTGCCATGTGGAATTCAGTTATATCATTCCCGGATGACCATTACAAAGAGATTCGGTAGTCAGATAGAGGAAGCCGACGCATGATTTTTTACGGCACAGTGATTCGACCCGATTAATCAGCTACCGATTTAATTTCGATGCTTTTTGCGTTGCTAGAGATTGCAAATATATATTTTCGCGCTTTTTCAGCAGAATCGACACGTATCGTTGCTTTTCAGCCAATAACATAAAGTGAAAATAAATTAAAAGAATTGTAGGTTGATTAAAATAAAATCGCAAGAAGAATAAAAGAAAAATATTTAAAGAGCATATTAAAGTCAAATCTGATAATCTCTATCAAATTTAGTTTAATTTTTAATGGTTGACAAGTAGCACAATAATATTAAATATTTGTCGATTCGTATATTATAAATATTATTTACTGAAGATATTTTTCAACAGCATATTATAACATTAAAGATTGAAATAATGTGTGTTATTTTATCAAATTCTGCAAATAGCATGATCAATTTCATTTATTTGAAATTAATTTCGGCAATTTGCTTAACGATTGAGATTCGGATAGCTTATATAGATATCGGATAACGATTGAGATTTGGATAACTTACATAGATACCATTTTATACATATATTTATATATCTTAATCGCCTAAGAATATAAAAATTTATGTCAGATTGTATATTTCAACAAATCATCTCAATTTCTATTTACGTTTATATTCATGATAGTTGCTCAAAGCGTGATTCATTAATCGCGGACGAATTTGGATATTGCGGTTTATTTCTACACAATTGATGTTCTAGAAACTAGAATCTATTCCCAGGCTATCCCGTGAAGAAATGAGAGAGAGGACGAGAGTGAGAAAGAAAGAGAGAAAAGAAAAGGGAGACAGAGAGAAAGGGAAAGCTACTAATGATATGAGAGAGAAATAGAATCTATGCCAAGCTACATAGTATGAACGCAGTATTAGTACGCTAATTTCGGCATTTTACCTTCAGTTTCAATTATATATTGACAACAACATATCAGCTCACTAATTCAAATCGTGCTTTATCATTTATAATTATTTAAGCCTTCAATTAAAATTTGTAACATTTGGGCTACCAGAGTTGTTTTCCCAATCAATTGAGGACGCTTACTCATTGCGGTACTCAATTTCGGAATACTCGTATTATTTAATTGCTCTTCAATTTCCGTCTCTTGCAATTTCTAGCAAATTAATCTTTGACGATCCTGTGTAATTTAAACAAGTTTTGCGTGCTATGATTTGCAAATTGTTCGCTGATGCAGTAATGTCCAGTGTCAAACGCTGATCTAACAAACTTCACAAACTTCTTAAACTTTAGGGCATATAGCAATATTATTTTGTTAATACATGTTAATTGTGGAATTTTTTGTTTTAAATTATTAATTGGAAAATATTATGTAAATATTTTACAAATGCATTTCGACAAAATTTTTTTATAGTTTTCTAAAAAACATTTGCTGCATAAAATTGGGAAGACATAATATTGAAATAATTTGAGCACATGTGGACATCAGAAATTAAACTGATTTCTCGCCGATTGTTTGTTATAAAAAAATCTTAAAATTTAACTTGCGTGAATACAGTTTATGCGAAAGATATGTTCCCCATAAGATATACATTTGCATAACGCTTCGCGAATTATCGAACTTTATTTTGTGCTTTGTTGATCTTCTAAAAATAGCTGTTTCCGTAGCGACGATGATTTGCTTAAAATTTGCGAATAAATTCGGCCGTCAAGCACCGTTGCTACTATCGCCTTTATCCAAGTACCGTCACAAAGAGGATTACACCGTCGTATCAACACGATTCACCTTCACGCCTACATACCACGATTTTCCCCTGTGTTGTGCTCTACTGTATGGCAACCACACGCCAGATCTTACCGCCTTCCATATAGAATCCCCACGACACGTGCAACGAAGTAATCGAACCAAGCCAGCATATACTTCGGTACGTATTCGGTATACATTTGGCCTACGACACGCGATCGTAAGCATTGAACTTCTCACGCAAAACATCAATGTTTTTTTTTTTTGTAATTGTATTTTTGCATGATGTAGTTAAGCTCACTTTTCGATCAGAGTGAGTGAAATGTAAATTACGCGAACTTCGTATCTTGCTTCTTCTATTTTTCATATATCTGTTTTAATTGTATTTATTATTTCAATTTAGAAATGTAATTAACATTTAACACCCTGTTTTATCGTATTCATGATTTCAACATATTTTTTATTACATAGAATTTTATCTTGATTGACAAAAACAATCTCGATGTAATCAGAACTTTTCTTCGCTTATCGATTTGCTTTTCCAGCTACGTGCGTTTACTATTTTAAAGTTTAGTGAAAATGTAGTAGCTTGCGGTAAAATGTTACTCAGTACATTCCACGGTTCTAGAAATGCAGTTCGATGCGACTGTCGAGAAACTTCGCGACAGTATAGTCCGCAAGAGTTGCGATATCTAATGGCGCGGCGAGTTGTGAAATATAAGGAAAACTATCGGAGGGTATAAGCACGATCCGGAGAGACAGTCGTATGCAAAACTTCATGACAACGGCGGAGTGCAAAGCTGCAAAAGAAGCGACGCTATGTATCTGCTTAACTATGCGACGAGACTATGAGGTGAGGTGACGAACTCGCAGTGCTCGAGACTTCTGCTAAGTCACTCGCATCGCATATCAACTTACAATATTGTTTTTTACATTAAAAAACGGAAATTGTAAACGTATTAAAAAATTCTGTGAGGTAAGTTGACTGAAATTGAGTCATGAATGAAATGTACCAATAGCGAAGATTCATAAATATAATGGCCGAATATTTGTTTTGGAAATTGAAGAACATTGAGATCTCTGAGCAAATAAAATATCTTGTATTGATTTTTATTGATATTGATTTTGGCTTTGACAATATGATTAACTACTAGCTGCATAATTAAGTTTAATAAAATTATTACATACACATAATCATTCAACACGAACGGTATTTACAATTAAGTTTATCAGATCTAATTATTGCAAATTAGCACAGTTATATTCCACAACATACTGCTGTAAAAATCTCTGTAAATTTGTAATGCGATATTTACAGTTTTATTAGTGCAAAATTTATTCTACAATATATGTAAAAATGAATAATACAAAATCATTTCTCAACTGTGTTTTGGAAAAAGATTATTTAAAAAACTCCCACTTACTATGTTAAAATAACTGCAATTTCTAATTTTCTTTCATATTTATGTAATGAAAGTTCAAACATTGATTGAACAGCACGCCAAAACATATTTTGAAAAAATACTTAAATTAAAAACTCATTCTCTCATTCTCACACTTTGACGCAAACACACACACACACATGTTATGTTTAATAAAAACAACCCTTAAAGATTTTATTTAAAAAAAAATCTTTTGATGTCATATAGAACATGACAGTAACAATAACGGAAAGCATATAGGCATTTAACTCGTCGCTGCATTTCACGGTTGGCCACATAGAAAATCTCATCTGCACCGTAACACTTAAAATTTCACAACCACCACCACCATTAGAAATCCACCCGTGATAACGGGGTTCCTTTGAAAAGAAACTCACCAGATCGTCACGTGGTTGATCACGGAGTCCTTGTAAGAACTTGCAGCCCGACGGACGGATGCACCCCGATGATACACTCGGTCACATGTCAGAGTCCTTCGGGCAGGTCGTATACTGGGGGATGCGCGAACTTATTCATCCCCGCGATATCGGACAGGTCACGCGTTGTAGACGGCCGGCCCAACCCGTCGCTTCTGTCGTTTCGGTGGTAGTCCCCTCCCCCCCTCTCCTCTTCCTTCTCCTCCTCCTCCTCTTCTTCCTCTTCCTCCTCTTCCTCTTCTTCCTCCTCCACGACTGACTCTCGCATCGCTCCTTCTCCCTTTCACAGCATAGTTCGCACGAAGAGCACCCTCCTATTCCCCTTCGATTCCCACCGAGGCGCCACCAGGACCTTACCCGACATCCCTACGTGAGGGGGGTAAAATCCATAAGATGCGCGTCTGCGCTTTCAACACGTGAGAGTTTGCGCTACTCACAAATATAAGCGCCCTTTAGTCGAAACATACCGAACTACCCTTCGCACAGAATTCTGATCTTAGCATAATATTCTAGCAAAGCTAATGAAATAACCAGCCAACGATTTGAGTTTTTCAAAACTGGGATGATACAACAATATTGTCATTAGTTTTAGAAATTTAAAACATATGGAATTAATTTCTACAGGAAATTTAACGCAATTATTAGTGCAATGAATTAAAAAAGGTCGGAAATTATTCAATTATCAATTCAAATATTTTGCTTAATTTATTATTCAGATAATAGTACAGAAACGCAAAATATTTTTAAGAATTGCAAAACTATGACTGTAAAAAGTTTATAGTACGGCAAATATGAGATTTGATATTTTAATAAAATGCTTATGTAAAGTATTATTAATTATATAAGTATAAGATTAAAAATGTAAACAAATTAAGTTTTTTCTGAAAGATTGTTTCTTTACATTTATTTTTTATTTCTGTTTATTCCCCACGAGGATTTAAAGAACAAAATTTTTTAAATATCAAATATCCAAACATCTAAATTTAAAATCAAATTCGAGATAAAAAAATTACAATTATTGTTAAAATTTGTCTTAAATATTAACAATTAAAAACAATTTCTCACAAGAAAAATGTTTATATCATCTTTTGTACTACTTTTGTATTCATCTCATCAAGCATATGTAAAATTGTTGTTAGACCAATTAAATATTAAAATAATAGATCTTAATTATTTTTTTATTTTATTTTTATCTAAATTTAATGTCGCTAATTTATATTTAAAAAGGGGAAGGTTTATTTGAATAATAAAATTTATCTTTTATTTCTATAGATATGCAATATCATACATGCTACATATTTACATCTAATTTTTTATCTAGACTAAACAATATGAATTTATTTTGTGCATAACAAGTCATAAATAATATCTAACTAAATAGCACGATGCTAGAATGTGATAATACAGAATATTACAGTATGATAAATTTTTAAATTTCGCGCTAAGTGTTCTCATCTTTTTAAAGGCGCATTCTCATAACTCATATATATATAATACTCGTTTTAAACACATTTCTAACACAACAGAATTATAATTTCATTAGTTTTAACTAGTTTTAATGTAGAATTTATTAATATGAATTTAAATACATATTTCCGAGTTACTTTTGTCAAAAATTTATTGTAAATTTTTATATTATTTGGTATACGTTTACAATATCTATACGTTTGCAATTTAATTAAATATAATTTTGAAAGTTAGTTCCTAGAAGTTATCACTTCAATTATTTTAATGTTTTCAAGTCCGCATTTATATCAAGTAATTTAGATTTATTCTCATTTATTCATATTTCGTGATACTCGTTCAAAAGGAGCTTAGAAATGTTTGGAAGTAAAAAACCTTATAAAAAAACGACAGAATACAAACACACAGTGAAAGTAATCGTACTTTGATGTCATTTTTTACATCGGAATCTAACAGATGGTAAGAATTGTGGCACGATCCTTTCAAATTTCTCGTAAACAATGAAACAGTTGCAGCCTAGCGAACATACGACAACGATAAGCCGATAGTGACGTGCTACTATTACACACTGTTATACGATCAATTCCATGGCTGTCCATTCGTGGATTTGCTTACCAGTCACTGCATTACGTCATATAGTCATTGATAGTATGCCTCAAAAGCGATAAAAGTGTTCTTGTGAATAATATTTTAACTGAATTCTCTTATTTTCACGCAAATTAAGTCCAGTCCATCATAGGCGACCACGCGATGATGGGTAATGCTTTAAACTACAATTATTTCCAAACATTAATTACGGATTCTAACTCGACAAAACTGTTTAAGAAATGCTTATCGATTGACATAGCCATTTATTTTGATGATAATTATATGATACTTTATCCTACATATGATTTGGTATATTTTGCAGATGATACAAATACAATTGTGAACAAAGATGAACAATATAAAGTGATAGATGAGTGTATGGAAGAAGAAACACCTGAAACAACAGAAAATTCTCAAAAAGAGGTTATGGCTTGCCCAGAAAATGCCACTCAACAGCAAAGTCTTGAGACTAGCACTGGTATGATACAAAACATTTATCCTTATTTTTTTTATTGAACTCTATGCATAAAAGATATTTTTTATGCATAGAGAATTAATAGCTATGAATGTTTAGACATATTTTTATTTTGAAAACAACTACATCTCATTTTAATAAATAACACAGTATGCAATTGTGAATGTTTGTATTATAAATCACTTATTTTTTATATGATCATATAACTTTAATCATGCATGATATTTTGCCATAAAACCAAGAAAAGTATTTACAATTTAGAATGCTTATATTGCAGATACAAGATCTCTTAATAATGACACTGATAAACCAGTTCCAATGGAGGTAGAACATAATAAAAAAGATTTAAATAATGATGCTATTGATTTTACTGCTGATATAAACTTAGATCAATTGGATACACAAAAGGAAGTGACAGATGAAGATGTAATGCGTCATCTGGATGTAATAGAAAGTATTGAACTAGATCCTGAAACCTTTGGTATGAACCAGTCAGTGGAGGAAATTCAATGTTCTTCTCAAGAACAAGATAAAGAAGAAATAACAGTAATCGGTGTAGAACCTATAAAAAAAAAGTGGTATGAAATAAAGGTAATATCTAATGTAATGTCTATTCTATATTTTTTTAAGTTAATTAAACATTGTATCAACAAATGTACTATATTATATTCATAATTCGTATTTTCTCAATTTTAATTAAAGAAATATTTTTTTAGATTCTGGAAAAAGATGCGTATTTTAAGGAAAGACTGTCAAAGTTATCTCGAGTATTAATAGCTTCTTATCCCCATTATGAAAAATGGTTAGAAAGAATAGAGAAGATAGAAGGAACACCTATTTGCAAAGTAGATGAAATTCGACGTTGTCCGTTGAACAAACCACATGCTAATCGGTGGAAGTTTATATGTAAGTAAAAAATTAATTAATTAGAAATATATCGTAAGAAAAATACATGATATTTACCTTCATAACTAAATAATAAATTTAAAATATGTTATGTTTAGGTAACGAAAAACAAATAGAGGATGTTTCTATAAAAGAAGAGAGCAATGCGGAATCTTTTAAAAAGACTTTTAAAACACTCTGGTGTCTTGAACCAATAGGAGTAGGAGGTGTTAATACGAATAATATAGATGAATTTCCATCTTTTGTATTACATGCTGTTAAGGTAAACTAATTAGAAAAATTTTGTTTTTTTTTATCTTTTTACAGCTTTACTAATAAAAAAAACGAAGAAATTTTTAATATAATCTATATTTTTGGTATATGAATAATTATTTCAAAATATTCACTACAAAGATGTTTAGCTTTTTTAAGATATGTGATTGGTTATGGACATCTTTTATAAAAATTGAGTGAGATCTAAATATTTGTGAACAATAATTACACAGCAAGTGCAAACTTCTACAAAATTGAAAAAAAATTCTATTTAACACATGCACATTAATAGAAGAAAAATACTTGTATGGAAAAGTGGAAAAACCCTTTCCCATTTTATTGACTACAAGTAATAAAATGCATGTTACGTAAATGAATTTTTAAATGAATTTGTGTGTGTGCGTTTGTGATTAATCCTATTAAAATATGCAATTTAAGTAATTAATTCCATACATAACAATAAATTAAAAAAGTGGAAATTTAATTACTGTTATGTATGCAATAAAATAATTGCATCTATCAAGATGTTGCTAATATTATGCAACTGATAGCACAGAAATAATAATAGAAAATTATACTAATTACATGCATATATGTATACATACATACATGACTGCGTGTGTGTACACATACAATGTGTAAGTCAAGGCAGCAACAATTTTAAGAATATTAATTTCCACATTACTGTGAATACAATGCATTAAATGCACTTGATAAAAAAAATTTTTGTCATGGAAAATATATCTTCATAATAGAAAGAGAAAGAAAGAGAGAGAGAAAAAAGAGAAGTAAACAGCATATAAAAATGACAAACATATTGAATGAATATAGAGTATAATATAGAATAGAAAATAAAAAAAGAATAAAGTATAATAAATTCCTTATAAGGATATCATGATGATTTAAGTATCATACTTCCTGATACTTATGCTTTTACATCAAATAAACATAAACGTATCTGTCGAAAAAGGAAAAAGAGATGATAATCATTATGATTAATGATATATATATATATACACACACATGTTGATTATATTGATAATCAGATATTATTAGTACCATCACTTGATTATATTGATAATCAGATATTATTTGTACCACCACTTGATTTGCCATATCTGATACTCTCAACGTACTTAGCTGTGTAAATAAATATGATATATAAAGAAACCCAGAAACATTCATATATTTTTAATAATTATATAAATTGCAAATTTAATCATAAATTCGAATCCGCATGTGAACGGGTATATAAAAAATTTATAAAATAAATTCGTTAGAAAGGTTTATAATAAAATGATAAAAGTGTAACATAATAGTTTATGGTTCACGCAACACACGAGTAATTGTGATAATAATAAGTAACAACTGATGTTTTTGTTTAATCATTCTAATAACTTACATGCATAATACAATATGCTGTAATATGAAAAGATACATATGATATATCATACAGCATATTACATATCTTTTCTAGATATATAATATGTATGAATTACTTTTTAACATGCAAAAAAGTACAACAGTACTTAAATAAGTTACATAGCGACTGTAATATCGATGATTATTGGCATACACAGATATTTGAAGATTTTCTCCAAACAACTATAACATCGACTCAAGATGCAGTTCTTTCTATTAAAAAAGAAGAATTATCGACGGATACCGATTCAAGAAAAGATGCAGCGGAAACAAAACAACAATGGATGTCGTTGTTAGTGCGTTGCAATAGCAGGGATGAACTCATGCTTTTTGCAACTGGAAAAGATATCAGTGAGAACGCTATGAATCGTTTGAAACAGACATACGAGTCTGGTCCGGGAAAGAGTTGTAATGTCAAATCTCTGTATTGCAGAACGATAAACACGTAAGGAACCAACAAGATAAGAAACTGCTTCAAAATCAGCAGAAATTTGCATATTGCATTCGTTTCAGATATGACGATTCAGTCCTAACTACATTCTTAGTGGGAGCAGAGGCTTTAGATGAAGTTGTGGGTGATCTAAAAGTGCAGCTTGTACCAAAGACAAACTTTTGGTCGAATGCTGCCGGTGCGTGGAACGTAGTTAAAGCGGTCACAGACTTGCTTAAGCCTACACCGAAAACAACGATACTTGAAATCGGTTGCGGGATTGGCGTGATTGGACTTTCGCTAGCGTCCGTAAGTACATGCGTAATACATAAATATGTGCACGTAAGTAAATGCATTAATTACCAACCAAAGACAATCGATACGTTACAATAATATCACATATTGTATATGCAAATATGAGATTAAGCAACTTGACGGAACGATTAATGAACTATCGTTGCATTATAACAGAAATGTCGAGAAGTGATAGGAGTTGATGCGCCGCTGGAGATAAATGAAGCTGAATTAACTTGTCAATTAAACAGTATATACAATGCAACTTTCATAAGGGGATCTTCATCCGAGGTCGTAAATAAACTAGGTTCTATGCGTAACTTACACTATAAAAATGTTGTAACTTACTGCATAATCAACACGGGTACCAATATGGGTAGAGGTATGCAAACTCGATTTTTGTTTATCATCAATATTATTAACGGTTAATCAGTGACGCTAAGCATTCCGGTCACAAGATGCGATCTAATAATAAAATTCTAAAATTATAATATCTTTTAGCCATTGAAGTAATGACGTGCTTAAGAAAAATTACTTCTCTCCGGCGTATCGTAATGATCACCACATTGACAAAACAATCGGTTCGGGCAATATTAGAACTTGCACGGCCTGCAGAAAGTGGGCTCGGTCATCCGTTTATGCCAGTTCGAGCATGTGTCGTTGATACATTGCCTACTGGGCCTCATTTTGAGGCCGTCATTCTAATGGAACGTAGACTCATGCATAGACTTACGCAACCATGGTTCATCCAGATGTTGGAAAAAGAAAGTAAAACGTGGGATAACACTAAAGCATTAGAAAAAATAATAAATAATGATGAACCTGAAAGTTCTGATGTATTCAGAAAAAATCCGTTAGCAAAAACTGAACTTGAGAAAAACTTTAAACCGTTACCCACGAAAAAAACACCTTCCGTGAAGAGCGACTCAAGTTCATCAGGAAAAAGTAAAAAATTGAAGCGAGATCACTCGCCTGAAATAATAGAATTATCGAAAAAAGTGACTAAGAAATTCGAAAAATCCGGACCCAAACCATGGCAACAGGGTAAGTTTTGACGGCATAAATTCAATAAACATTATATGAGATTATTATATAAATCTAATCAATTTTTTTTTTTTTTTCATTAATTAGATGTTACAATCAAGAAAAAGAATTGGCTTCATGAAAATCCAGCACTTCGCATCAATCCATTATTTGATAAGAAGAGAGAGAATACAGAACAAATCGATTTGAGAGAAAAATTGTCGAGCAACCGAATAGACACGGATTTAATACAGAAGGTAAATGAAAGTCGTAAAATTCTCGAAGCAGCCAAAGAAAAATTAAGCGGTCCAACCACGGTTGATGCAACGACCGCTAAAGAAATAAAAAATGTATTAAGTTTGGTTCTCGACCAGACTAATAAGTATCATACTCAATTGCCACGTTCAGTGTGGGATCGCATTGCGCCAGCCGAGATTGATCAAAAGGCGCCGTCAAAGAAGGAGCTTGATGACGATCCTCTTCTGAAAGGTCGATTTGTTCAAGAAATCCGTGCTAAAGATCTCGTTATTACGACAGCAAACAAGGAATATTTAGAAACTGAAGATGTTCCGAAACCGAAATTCAGAAAGTACCATAATTTACGACCACTAGAGCCAGACAACGTGATGCCGGTAGCGTTAAAATTTGTATCTAATGATAGACCGAAATTGCCTAAAAAATCATTCGACAACAGAAATAAGCAACAGAATCAAGATAATTCTTGGCATAAGAATAAAGATTTTGAGAGAAACCGTTGGAATAATGCAGAACCTGTAAGAAAACCTACTTCTCCGATGAAGAGGCAGGAGATGCCGTTTCGACATCGAGTACAGTCGCCAAATAGATATTCACCAAAGCGTCCCTTACTGTCACCACCAAGACGTCCATGCTCGCCGCCTAGGAGACATCTTTCTCCAGATAGGCCCTATCAAGGACGTAGCTCTCCTTCGCACCGTGAATATTCTCCCCAGAGACGTAAAATTACGCCACCCAGAGGTCCGTTCTCATCGCTTAATGTCCGAGAAATGTCACCACCAAGACGATCGACAGCGGTTTCAGGCCGGTCGATGTCACCAATGCGACGACAAATGTCGCCATTAAGACCGCCATTGTCTCCATCGAGACGACAAATGTCTATGATGGAATACGAATCATCGAAGAGACAGATGTCTCCTACGTACAGACTGCACGAGAGGTCGCCCATGAGGTGTCAAATGTCTCCAGAAAGGAGACCCATGTCGCCCGTTATAACGATGATTCCAAGATCAAGAGACATGATTCCACCGAGGCATCAGTCTCCTATGAGACATTTTTCGCCACCTCGAATACAAACTGGACGTGTTGCATCACCTCCAAGGCGACAGCCATCGCCAAGACGCCAAAGCTCGCCGCCGAATAGATTCGCGGATGAATGGGACATACCAAGCCGAGGTGCTATCGAACAGAGTAGCACTTGGCAACGGTCCGTTAATGAGAGAGTACCTGAAAACGTTTGGCGTAACGAAAGACAACCAACAACGAGTGGAAACTGGCCTCCTTCTTCTGACAACGATAGATATCACAAGTCAACAAACCAAGAAAAATCATGGGATATCAGAGATTCTTCATCTCATGGAAACTGGGGCTCGAAGCAGTCGCTCGCAAAGCCCGCTATGAAAGAATCATGGCAGACTTCGGATAATAGATGGTCTGGTCCTTCTAGATCGGGAGGCGGCGGTGAAAATTGGAATCGTGACAAAGAAATTCTGGGTGGGCGCAAAGAGCCGTGGAAAGATACGGACAAGCCGCGATGGGAACAGGCGCAGTCTAATAATTCTAACTGGAATCAAGGAGACAAGGACGATTGGAATGATCTTCCAGAAGATGCGCGAGATCCCTGGGGTGATGAAAGCAATCTTGGATTGAAGGAAAGATGGATGAATTTTGAAAATCAAGCCGCGTCATCATCGTCTGGTTGGTCCAGAGAACCTGATAAAGGAGATCCCTGGACAAAATCCAAGGACAGCTGGCAGAATAAGTCGCAAGCTTTTCCGACAAAACCGTCATGTCAAAACATTGGTAATCCAAACATAAATGAGACGCGCTGGTTACCTCTAAACGATGTGAATAAGAAATCAACAAATTGGCAAGGAGGCACCAACACTGGAGCATGGCAACCATCAAATTATAGCTTTCAATCACAATCGCAAAGGCCATTTATGGCCAATTTGTTTAAAGATCGACGTTAGATAAGATGTTAGACAAGATATCTTTGATATTACACATCTGTGTTAATAATAGTTTAACATCACTTGACAATGTCACCTTGAGAATGTTTTAGTTTATTAATTAAAGTATATGAGTTTTTCTTTTTGAACAAATACAGATATATTAAAACTTACAGTGAACATGTGTGTGATAAATTGAATAAAATTTTGTTACACATTGTCAGCATAACTGTTTCTATAATTGTGATTTGCAATTATGCATCGTGATTTCTGTGAAGACAATTTTTTTTTTTGTGTTTCAAGTGATGTTCAGCATCGTACAATTTATTGCTAACAAATTATTTTAATAAAATAAGACAAACATTATATATTTCTGTAGGCATTGATGATCAGTTACATTATTTTTACAATGAGAAACGAAAATAGGCTGTATGCATTATATATAAATATATTATGAGTACTGAGTGTATGTATATACTATGTGTATACAATATTTATGTATATATAGTATGTGTACGCAGACAATATATATTGTATATATACATACATACATACATATACACGTATTCATGATATATATATATATAGATATATATACACATGCATATATAAAAGTTGATGTATTTGTTTGTATGTAATAACAGCCAACTGTATTTCTCATTAAAACATTTTTGAAAATAAACTATATTAAAGCTAACATCTCTTATGTTTCATGCATAAAAATCTAATATTGTCTATTAAAAACGGTATTTTGACGAAATAAAGTTAGTCTTTTGTGTACCACAAGGTATTAATATAATTATGATAAAATATATAATGCTGATTTTTCCAAATTTTAATTTGGAAATATGGTAAATATTTTATTATTTAAAGAATAAAAAAATGGTAGATATATTTTTAGTAGATATAAATGTGCATACTTTATCTGCATACTATTTAATATTTTCTTCATGAATCATATAAACGAGTTTTGCGTAATTTATGTACATATACTATTAATTACTATAGTAGTACAAGCAATCGTGCTATTTTATAATTAAGAACAAATGTCATGTTTAGTTAAGAAACATTTTTTCTACAATGTTAAGGAAGAGCATAATTTGCAAGATAAAAGTAATTGCATATTTTGTTAATCTAATTTGATGTCATCAGTATAATTACTTCGTAATAATTCAAATATTTTGTAGTGTTTTTGCGCAAATATCACAAAAATTATATTAATTATTTAACATTTTTATTACTACCTTTTCCTATTTATTAATTATGCATATGATGACATGCTCAATTAACCGTTCATATAACTGTTGTAGGATTCAGTAGGATTCTAGCTGCATGTGCGTCAGCATGTTGAGTAGGTATACTGTGAGAGAGAATGTGTTTACATTGAATAAAGTACAAAAATAATAAATCTACAAAATTGGGACCATACAATTTGGAATTTGGTTGTAAAAAAAAGCAATAACAACGAGAAATGTTCCTGTCAAAGGTATTTTCATAGAAATTAATGTGAAGTTTATTTCAATCAATTGAGGTTATACATAACCATTCTATTTTCTTAGATACCGTTTCTTCTGAGAAATACTTTTCCTAGTGTCCAATATGAATCAGGACATGCTGGCATTCTCATGCGTAACTTCTTACAAAATAATACATCCTCTGTGGGATTATCAACATCAATACAACAACAGAATGAACAAGATTCAACAAAAAACCAGCCATCTTTACTTTCAATAAACACTGTATATTCTGTGAAAATTATTATTTTTTAATCGATTTATTTTAATATTTGAACAATAATAGATCGCTTATCTTTCAGAGTACACCAGATAAATTATATAAAAAAATTGAAGTGGAAGTTAGAGGAAATGATCCAGCGGTGTTAAAAAGCTATGGAGAATTTGTAATGATGGCTGCAAATCATTTAAAAATCAACGTAGGTAGAAAGTAAGTTATTCAATTATTTGACTTGAACACAAATCAGCTAATTAGCAGATGGTATAATATATACTTTTATATCTTATAGTACAGCACCACATAAAGCTATTCACGAACGATGGACTGTGTTGAAATCTGCCCATGTTCATAAAAAACATCGGGTTCAGTATGAAATCAGAACCTATTATCGCTATCTCGATTTTCTAAAGTTAACTGGGTCAACAGCAGATACCTTTCTAGAGTATATTCAAAGAAATTTACCGGAAGGAGTAGCGATGAAAGTGACAAAGGTCAGTATTTTATAATTTAGGAAATGTACAAAATAATTTATATCATTGGTATATTTTGTTTCTTCCTTTTTACAGATTGAATTGGAAAAGTTTCCAGAGAGTATAGCTGCAATGTGTAATATGTAATTGTGAGTAATTTATATAATTAGATTCGTATTAATTTCCTAATATAAATTCTAGAAAGAAAGAAAATACATTTGGAATTTATTTATTTAACGCAATATTTACTTTACACAATTTTCGAAAATTTAAGCCTGATAAAAATGATGTTTATAAAATTGTTGATTATTAATAACATTACTTACAAAAGGATAGATAAATTGCTGTAACAGAGAAGCTACTTTACACTTTAAAATAATATGTAACTTGGTTTTTTCTTAAAATTATTACAAATAATTACATTTATATGCCAATTTGGAATAAAATTAGAATCCACAAATCAGAATAGTATAAACCACAAACGCCGCTATAAAAACATTAAGTGACAGGATTGATAATTATTATATGTGGCGACGAATCGATTTTTCTGCCTGATACATCATGCGCAAGTTCTGGTAATGGGCTCTTTTTTTTAAAGATCAGTGGTCTATTTTGTGGTACGTCGATATTGACGGTTTTGAGAGGTGTATCTGCCAGGTGTTTGCCTGCAATTCGACGTGCATGTCCATTAACGCGTCTTCTCATATGAGTTGTACGTCGATAAATACTGCTCGATGTTTGTTTAGAAGTCTCAGCTTGACGAGCGTCATTCAGAGTTGTCTTTACAAAATTAGGAGCTTTCTGTTGTATTTGCGATTGAGACGAGTTCTCGGCTTTGCGTGAGTTGATAGGAACGACTTCTTCGTTTCTGTGCTTTCTAATTAATTCCGCCGTAGCTGTACATCTATGCAAGATATATTCGTTATCTGGAATAAAATTTTTTATAAATATTCCCAAATATCTCATTTTTGTATAATTACGTACATATAATTTTATGTGCATATAATTTTATGTTATTATGTACGTAAAAAGAGATGAGATTTTATATTGGCAAAATACGTTCTTAATCATGTTTTAATTATTCAACTACGCACATTGTGAGATAGAGAAACTGATATGCTGTGAATAATGACCAGGATTTATACCTCTGACATTCGCAATGACATCTTTGTTAAACGCATATATTCTCGTTAAAACTTGTTCGGATAATAAATTAATATCATATTTATGCAGCCGAGTAACGTATTCGAGAAATGTAAAGGCATTTAAAAGTTCTAATCTTTTGTATTTTTTATGAAGCATTTTTAGAAATTTTTAAATAATGCATTAAATATGTTGAATAATATATTTAAGAACTTCTCACATATATACTTCAATAATTATAATTTTATTTGATGGGATATTATTCACATCGAATAATTTGTCAACTACGTATGATATGCGAAATATGTATAAAATTACTTACTTGATCTCTTTGTGCGATGATCTGTCAGAGAATCACTCATCCAAACGAAGACAATTAAAATAACAGTCACTTTTTCCAATATCATTATGTATCACGAGATTTTTTACAAGTGACTGCTAATGGATTGAGTGACAAATAAACGAAGTTAACATTTAGCAAACTTGTGACAAGCACAATTTGTATTATCTGTCTTGAGAGAGGAAATCGTGGTAGCCACCGCGAGAGCTATCCATCGACTGCGGATTGTGAAGAAAAAAGTTTCACCGTCTAGAAGAGGGAGCAAATGAAACCGGACAAGGCGACAAAGCCGGACAGAAGTCGCTTGACTTTAGTTAAGATTTTGCGTTACGATAGCGTAACACACGTGCGCGCTGTAGTAGATATTAAATCAATTGCCACTCACCAACATCAAGCGCGATGCAAACTACGAAGCAGACGGAAGAAACCGCATGACGTCCCTTTTTTCTTGTTTTTAACGTTGAACCAAGGTGAACCGGTTTGAAAGATGGGCCAGGTCGAAAGTCGGCCCATCATCAATATATTCTTTAATCATTTTTACTTTTGTCTGGTTTCACATACACGTTATTTAAAAAAGTATTTGTGTCACTGTTAAAAGCAAAACGTTACATATTCTTGAAGTCAAAATTATGTGACAAACTTTCGAGACAATCACTCGCATAAAAAAAGCGAAACTCTCGTGTAATCTGATTTTCTGATGACCTTGATAATCAGTTGCCATAATATGTCAAAAGTATGATATTTTTAACTGTAAAATATGCTATATTTCAAGCAATGATGCAATGACTTTGGAACGCAATAACTAATGCGATTATTTTTCTTGCTTTTAATTACATTGTCTTATATTTAAGACTGCAAAATATCAAAACGGATGTAACTGTTACACCATGTCTTTTTAAAGAAATAAAAATTATGTTAGAAAACATAATAACGTATAGAGCTTATATAGCAAGAGTTAGCGAGGATATAGATACATTTATTGATAAATTATACCATCGCATTCAAGGGATTTACTCTATGCTACATGAAAAACTCTTCGGGCTGGTTTAAGAAATTTTTATGTTCATGTAGTGATCGACAAGAACATTATCAAGAGATGACCACTTGAGCGACTAACGACAGGAGCATTAAAGGTAGAACCAGCTCTGGACGACCCTGAATTTCTTTTCAATTTCGCAGAACACCGCTCAACCTTTTATAGAAACAGAGAAGCAGTTGAAACATAAAACTCTTCAGTTAAACAAACAGGATTTTATTCTTTTCTACAACATTGCAGACAGCGCTGTAATCTTTTGCCATCGTTAAATCATAAAATAATCGATTTTTATTGCCTTGTTTTTTTTATATTCATGGCAATATTATAAATGTCTATGTGTACGCTACACAGTCATACAAGAAATATGATCTATCACTACAAGCAATATAAATGATGAAAAAATGTCACGAATGAAGAATGATATGATAAACGTCAACGTTGCTTCAAAGGGCCCACACTCGAACGTAATCTATTACAAAAGCAGTCTTGTCACGATTCTCCCAGCTTGGTAGCCATTGATTCCGCGAGTTCCAGAAATTTAGCATTGCCTGCAATGAAAGTCAATAGTCATCGTGAGAAATAAATACTTTACTTTAAGATCGAATATGTTAAAGTATGCACACCTTAGCACCCCGGTTTTTCCATGGTTTTGCCCATCCAGAACTCATCGTGTTATCCGGAAACGTGCGCACTCCGCCCACACCGACACCGAGCGTGATATAGAACTATTATAAAAAGACTTATGAGCGTCTAATTTTTTAAAAATACGTCTGCAAATATTATATATTATATTTAAAATAAATTTATGCTGTGAACAGACGCGAGACATAAAATGTTTTTGCAGCATTTGCTATTGCAGAGAATTACATTAAATTATTTTTTTTAGCATTGCCATTGCGCCAACGCAACAGTAATAAAAGTTGCATATATTAATCCAAATACAAAGTAACTGATCTTACCTCTTGATCAAACGGAGCTTTTGTCGTGTCAGAATCACTCGACCATGTATCTTGAAGTTTATCTTTACGCACTGTGCCAACTTCCACATCGTCAACGAAAAACGCAAATCCATCGCTGTTCCAAATCGTCGTGTATTTATGAAAGTCCTCTGTCCATCGCGGTCCAAAGTCGTGTATCGCCGAGACAAGTACTTCCTGAATGTTTTCGGGATACGAAGGACCGACTCGTATGCCAAAATCTAATCTTCTACTGTCATAAATCTTCGAAACATCCGTGGCATTCACCAGGTGTTCATTGCCACGCGTCAAACCCAGAAGAACACGGCCACTGGCATAATTCATACCGTATGTAGAATATTTCGGCTCGAGCCACATTTCTAATCAAATTATACAAATTAATATCTTTTTTTATTTTTATTGCGACATTTTGTTTCGAAGTATTTTAGTGTAAAGAAAAAAATACCTTTTTTATAGATATATTATGTATTATATATAATATTAATTATTTATTATAACACTATTTCAGAAATTAGAATAAAAACCAATCATTAAGAATTATGCAACAATTTTAACAGTTTGAAAGAACAATTTAACGTTTCTCTCGGAAAGCAAAAACAAATTGCATAAAAATTTTAAAATCTAAGTAATGTTTTTGATTGTTAAAAAAATACACTAATTAAAAGAAACAATTACCTGGATATATCCAATCGCCCTGGGGAAACCTAGCGCGTATTTCGATCTTTCCGTATCGAAAGGTAAAGCTTTTCTTTGTAGTAATACGCGCAGATATAATCGGTGGTAGAATGCTGTAGGATATTGCCTGTCGTGAACATTCCTCAGCAATCGAGCTAGTACACCTAAGAAAAATTATTTTAATAAAAGAAAATAGTGAAATATACATATGAAAATAAAGAGAAATTTTATATTTATATAATAAACATGTAGATATTTTACTCATTAAGTTGCAGTCTTCCATATGCAGTTGCATTTTCTCCATAATAATCCTCTAAAATAAGTGGCTTTATAAGTAGGTTACCTCCGGTTATTTTTACCAATTCCTGATGATTTTCATTATGATATACGCAAAACTCATAATCCTAGAATAATCCAAACAAAATTATTTTTTACTTAATGAAAAATAAAATATAATGCATCTACATCGAGCATTATGCTCATTTTCCTTTATATATTTGATTGCACATGTATACATAAATATATACACTTTGTTATTACATTTTCAATAACTTCAATAACTTTATAATATAAAATAAAATACCCACCGGATCTAATGGCATTTTTATCTCACGTTTCCACAATGACGTGTTGAGAGTGCGAAAATTATCTTCGAGCATCAACCGACCTTCGTATCTCGTTGTGGAGCTCTGTTGTTCTGTAATTTCTTCATTACTTTCTTCATTTTCCACTATAATTCAACATACATTATTGTTACCGCAACAATAGTCTGATTTTTACTTATGAGTCAGAAGTTACTGTAATCTTACAAGAATACGTCCAGTTCTTCAACTTATTGTAGTTTTTCCGGGCTACTTGCACATAAATCCAATAATGAAGTACATCTCCATTTCTTATAGTCACTCCTGAGTCTTCAAAGGTCCAACGACCATTTCTTGCTAAATAAACATCACCAGTAATCTCGCCGGTTTTGAAAAGCCGAATTCCTTTATTAGCGTTAGCGTGAAATCCAAATACTCTTAAGTTTGGTGCATCTATTAATCACAACACACATTTATCATAAAAGATGAGAAGATTTATTAATCTATATTCAAAAATAACTTCTATTCTTTTATCGTATATATCCGAAATAAATGGATTATATTGAATATATGATTTAAAATATAAATATTCTTTATTTTTTTTGTTATATTGTTATATAATTTATTTTTGGATTATTATTTTAACTGAAAATGATTTAACACTATGTTTGTAGTTTGGAGTCAAGTAATCAAGTTAGTTTTTATATCTGATGAAAGCATATTTAAAACACTAATGAGATTTGTCAGCGTTCTAAGAAAAACTATAAATATCGCATGTTTCTTAGATGTATTTTGCTGATCAATCTTCTGTTTTTCTTATCATTTTAGGGATTCCCGATAGTAAACGAATGCAACAAAGATCATTTATGCATTACATTTGTCTTGCTTTTAGTCATACTAATAATTTTTTAATAATTATCTCAGCAAGTAAATAATCTAGATATTTTTCTCTATTTTTGTTGTATATATGTTTAAAAAATACGATTATATCAATAATGAAAAATAAATGTTTAAATTGTAATATTACATTCATAACTCCAAATAATTAACATTATCACTTTAAACGCAAATATTTAGCTTGACATGACCCTATGTGTATCGATAAACCTTTCAATATATATAACCGATTGCAATGCGCATTTATAGATTATCATAATCAGATATTTGATTATTATATCCAATAATATTTTACATTAAGCTTAGCAAATTCTTAACTAAATCACTCATTTTTTTTATATGCCTTAGAATGCGATAATGTCGCGCGATTTTTTTTCGTATGATTGCATTATACAAACTACAACAAATATAATATAATATATAATCGTTAGAAGTCGTACAAATACTTAATATAAGCGTATTGCAAATAATGTTGGAGATAATTGTAGTAGTAATTATTTCTTTACCAAAATTTAATGTTGTAGTTTTACAAAATTCATCTTTTTACACAGTTATATTTTCTTTTTCTAAAAAATATTATAAATCTCACTGTTAGACATACCAGGTATTGAGACTCGAAGACCTTGCGGCTTTAACACTTCAAACGTTGGATCTGGTGGTTCGTAGGGGAACACCGGTTTCGCAAAGATGCATACTAAAACAAATATTAGCCGAGGTATCTCGCGATCGACTTTGCGGAAAAACATGTTCGCGATTATCAATTCTCCACGTTGCAAACACAATATTTATCGAGCACTAGTATCGCGCGGAATTGAGAAAAAAGCTGACACATGCGGGCGCGTATCACTCATTGAATGATTTACGATACAGCCACTATATCACTTTCCTTCTTGCCCCTCTCTTCTTCTTTTCCTTATTTGTCGTGGTCCTACTGTTAATCCGGGGATTCTCAAACCAGTTATTATATACCACTGACGTCATCTAACATTTCTATCAATAGCAAAAATATCTTTAGACTTTTTTTCAGATTTTCCGATATTGATTGATTATTATTTAATTGTACTAGAACAATACAGGCGCGCGCTACGCGCGCGCACTTATTATATAATAGTACTTTAATAATTATGAAATCTAAATATTTTAATAAATATTTTAATAAATATTTTAATAAATTTTTAAAATTTTAAATAACCGTCAATCTATCAAACTATCAGAATAATCGCGATAACCAATCAGCGTCGCGGAAAAGTTTTAACAATACTTTTGATACATTCTAGTATCGATCTTTCATGCTTTTTTTAAGAGTGGAAGAGAAAAAGTATTATATGAAAAGAATATATTACAAACAAATGTATTTATATATAAACTATATTCTATTTTTCATTCTCTTAGTTTTTTTATTGCAAATAATTGCAAATAATAATTTTTTTCAAACAATTTCCATAAGGAGTTTAATAAAAAAAGTTGTAATTATTAATTTATTTCTTAAATTGTTTTATTAAAATTCTGACAAAAGTGTGTATATAAATGTGATGTGCCTTTGTTTCACGCTAAATAATTTGTGATTTTTGATTAATTTATAAATTTATAAATATTAAGATAGTTAATTCACGTTACACTATTTTATCACAAGGCTCTAAAACGTACTTTGTAGATGAGCATCTATGAGAATTAATAGTAATACTCAATCGTTGATTTATGTGTTTCTGAATAAAGAAATCTTCTGATTGATTTTAATTTGCCGCTTACGTGCGCTGTTGATAATATTTCCACGCATGGTAATACCGTCCATGCCGACAGAGTCGGCAGCTGCTCATATAACAACACTGCCTTGTAAACATGTGGTGAACATGCGTTGAGAAGTTCCGTTGTACTAACTAAAGGATTTGTTTAATCAATAAAATTTCTAAGAGACTATTTATCATGTTAACTGTCGTGACGAAATTTGGCGTTATCTCGAGGCTGTCTCGCAATGAATTGAGTAAAGCTGCAGCCAAACAAATCGTCCTACTAAACAGGAATTATATTAGAGGTTATATTAACTGTAATTCAACACGGTTTTTAAAGAAAAATCGTCACACATTATTGCAATTGTCTGTACAAAATCTTAATTCAAATATTGGTTTATCGTATTCAACGGATAAGTAAGTGTATCTTTACATTATTCACAAAACTTCTAATTAACAATGTAATTATATGTGCGGTTAACGTTAAAATTTAATTGATTTTAGTAACGAACTTAGTTCTGTACAATATGAAAAGGTCTGCAACGAGACTTTAGAGTCATTAACTGAATATTTCGAGGAACTAATCGAAGCAGCAGCGCATTTGTCAGATGGGGATGTGTCCTATGGAGTATGTGTTTATAGATTATTAGTTAATAAATTCATGAATTCTCATTTTTGTATACAATAAAATTTATGAAAATTCTATTACAGGATGGTGTACTAACTATAAAGTTTGGTGATCCACATGGTACTTATGTTATAAATCGCCAAACACCAAATAAACAGATTTGGCTTTCTTCTCCAAAATCTGGACCGAAACGTTATGATTTTATAAATGGCCAATGGGTATATAAACATGATGGCAAAACCTTACATGAGCTACTCAATAATGAAATACCAGCAATTGTAAAAAATCAAGCATGTTTTGATAAATGTTCCTTTAGTGGCAAAGAAAAGGAAGCTGTGATAGATAATTTCTCTGTTGAGAAGTACAAATAAAAACATTATTATAATATTATGGACTTATAATTATGAAAATTAATAAGGATTTTGCTCATCAAATTTGTACATAAAATACAAAAGAAAATTAATATATAAGCGCTACTTTGTAGAATCTTCAAGTAAGTTCAGCATATAAAAAAATCATTATAGATGTACATGCACTGTAATGGCGATAACAATC